TGCCCCTTCACCTCAAGCTGCCCATGCTATCTTTGCACCTCAGCTAACACCTAGACTTTTTAACGTTTATTGTCCTAATTCTTGCTTGGCCTTTGTTTTTATTTATTACCGGACATATATATCGTGTGGACATCTAGTCGTAAATCTATAAGCAATGATGGACCAAGGTTAATTATTTAGACTTTTTTATTTGATATCCCAGAGTCTTCTGCCATTCGCAGTGGTTGGTAGCAACGAGGAAATAAACATCAAGGGCAAGGCAGTCCGTGCTCGTCAATACAGATGGGGTTCGGTCATGGTAGAGAACGAAGCACACTGCGACTTCGTTCACTTGAGGGAGATGCTACTTCGAGTTAATATGGAGGATCTCCGAGACCGCACCCATACCATCCACTATGAGACATACCGGAAGGCTCGGCTTACTGAGATGGGCTTTCAGGATGATGAAAAAATGACTCTACAGGTTAGTCTTGTATCTTTAAATACTATACTACCTATGTAACATAACCAATTCATGCTGAGGTGAGGTTTCTATACGAGTATTGACCGAGTTATTGACTCGCGACGCAGGGAGAGCCAAGTCTAAAACCATCCATGCAAAATTGATTCTTGTACATGATTTATAGCAGCCTTGTGCAGCTGCACAATTGTAACGATTAAATATACGAGGCACAAATGTTTAATGTATTTATAATCGCTTTAGGAAACTTATGAAAAGCGCCGAGAGCTACAGAGGAGAGAACTACAGCAAAAAGAGGAAGCAATGCGCGACATGTTCGTTCAGAGGGTGAAGGAAAAAGAACAGGCTCTCAAGGAGGCCGAAAGAGAGGTTATTCCAAATTAAATTAAACAAGATTATTAATTATTATCCTTTAACTAATCAATCCAACGCATATGCTTAAGTTGCAGGCCAAATTTGAAGCTATCCAAAAGCAGAATGCAGAAGAAAAGCGAAAATTTGCTGAGAAACGTCAACTATTTGAGGAAGAGTTGGCCGCATTCGAACGCCGAAAACAAGCCGTAGAACAATCAAAACAAGGTAATTTTACTATGAAGAAAAAGAAATAAACCGGCCGTAAAGACGATAGACTAATCAACTATGCTGAATCTGAATCGAATTTATAAGCCCCCACCATTACCGATATGCACAATGGCTAAACTTAGACGATTTTATGAACTTCAATAATAAGTCAACCAATGATTGTATTATTTTTTATTTGTTTTATGATGACTACGGTAGTATATTGCTTCAGAAGAGAGAAAATAATGTAAAAAAATATGCATCAAGATATGTACAGATTGAATGAAAGATCAGGGCTAAAGGACAGTAACGGATTAAAAAAAAGCTGTCATTTCACCAGTCGACCTTCATTTACCAGTGGTTATAAAGGAAATCGTTACGTTGATACTCAAATTGCCATTTTCAGAAAACCGCTGAGCAGTATTTGAGTCAAAAATAAGACAGTCTGAGGTTGAGATGGTCGATTCGACACAATCATGAATGCTTCTTGTGGATGCCTCCCAGGCGAGTCTTCGCTTATGCCCGTTCAGCTCCAACCTGCCAAAAGAGGAATAGGAAAATAAAACTAAATAATTTGATGATATTTGAATATTGAAGGGTACCTGGCTGCACACTAGTCATGGTTCGGAGTAGCCATAATATTAAGCAGATTCTTAACCAAAAATGATTTTCCGGTATCCCCACTGGACGATTATCACAGATACGACTAGAGATTATGGTTCCGGACTGAAAGAGCCTGCATGTATTGACGCTTTAAAGGAGATTTGCCCACAAGGAGTACCTGTCACGTTTTGAGTGCATCTTTGGGTTTCTCGAATTGCTTTATTAGCACAGCAATCTGCTTGCTGATGATGGACATCATCAGAGATGGGTTTCATCCTTGTAAAAGTATCACGTTTACACTAGGCCAAGAACCCT